ATTTTTTTCCACCCTTTCAGTTTTAGTTTGTTTGTGTCTTTAAGTCTAAGGTGTGGTCTCTTGTAGGCAGCATATAGACAGATCATTTTTTTAATCCATTCTGCCACTCTCTGTCTCTTTATTGGTGCATTTAGTCCATTTACATTCAGTGTAATTATTGAGAAGTATGAGTTCAGTGCTGTCATTTTGATGTCTTTTTTGTGTGTTGGTGACGGTTTCTTTGTTCCACTTAATTTTCTGTGCTTAGTCATTTTTCTTTACGTATTTTCTTTTCATCTTTTTCATTTGCTGAGTCTTTATGTTTTTCTTGTTTTTTATTTTGATGTATAGGATTGTTAATTTCCTTCGTGGTTACCTTAATATTTACCCGTATTTTTCTAAATTTAAACCAGTCTTTTATTTCAGTATATTGCCTTGACTTCTCTCCATATGAAAAATCTATGACTACACTTTTTCGTCCATCTTTTTTGTTTTAATGTCATCATCTTTTACATATTTACATCTGTTTCCCGATTTTCAGTGTTTTAGCTTTGATTTATTTTTGCGACTTCCCTATCTGGGTTAATATATGGTTGCTCTGTCCTGTGTTCTAGTCTTGGGTTGTCACCTGATGTTATTGATTTTCTAACCCAAGGACTCCCCTTAGTATTTCTTGTAATTTTGGTTTGGTTTTTGCATATTCCCTAAACTTCTGTTTATATGGAAATGTCCTAATTTCTCCACCATATTTGAGAGACAGTTCTGCTGGTATATAATTCATGGCTGGCCATTTTTTTCCCTCAAGGCTTTATATATGTCATCCCATTACCTTCTTGCCTGCATGGTTTCTGCTGAGTAGTCTGAACTTAGTCTTACTGACTCTCCTTTGTAGATAACTTTTCATTTATCCCTAGCTACTCTTAAAATTCTCTCTTTATCTTTGGTTTTGGCAAGTTTGATTATAATATGTCTTGGTGATTTCCTTTTGGGATCTACCTTATGTGGGATTCGATGAGCATCTTGGATAGATATCGTCTCATCTTTCATGATATCAGGAAAGTTTTCTGCTAACAAATCTTCAACAATTCTCTGTATTTTCTGTTATCACCCTCGTTCTGGTACTGCAATCACTCCTAGGTTATTCCTCTTGATAGAGTCCCACAGAATCCTTAGAGTTTCTTCATATTTTTAATTCTTTAATCTGATTTTCCCTAAATAAGTTGGTGTCAAGTGTTTTATCTTCACTCTCACTAATTCTAACTTCTATTGCCTCAATTCTGCTCCTATGACTTACTATTGAGTTGTCTAATTCCAAAGTTTTATTGTTAATCTTCTGGATTTCTGGCTGCTGTCTCTCTATGGATTCTTGCAGCCTATTAAATTTGTCATTATGCTTTTGAATAACCTTCTTAAGATCCTCTGTGGCTTTGTCTTTGTGTTCCTTAGCTCATTCTGTGTTTTGCATGATTTCCTCCCTGATCTCTTGATGAGTTCTGTATATTAATCTTTTGTATTCTACCTCTGGTAATTCCAAGAAATTCTCTTCCTTTGGAAAATTTCTTGATTCTTTATTTTGGGAGCTTGCTGAAGCCATCATGGTCTGCCTCTTTATGTGATTTGATATTGACTGTTGTCTCTGAGCCATGAATAAGTTATTATATTTGTTTTATGTTTGTTTACTGTGTCCTAGCTTCTTGTTTTGTTTTGTTTTGATATGCCCAAATAGGCTGTTCGTGTGAGCTAGTTTGATTATTGGTGTCTTTAAAGCTCTAACGTCCTGTCACCAGGTGGTTAGATCTGTTACTAGATATGTGAGCTCCAGAGTCTGTTTACTTTTCTTGTATGAATTCAGCTCAGGTGTCCAAGTAGTCAGTCACCAAGTGTGTGGTGCAGGCTCTCACCAACAGTCCTAGACAGGCATTGGTGGTTGTTGTAGGCACAGGTATCTGGCTGCAGTAGGGGGTCAAGCACTGAGCAAGGCAGGGGGCTGATGGCTGCCCCTGAGTATCTGGGAGGAAAGCATGTCCCTGTTCCCTAGAGCATGTAGGTGGGTGGGTTTTGCAGCAGACTATGAGCACCCAATGCTGTTGGCTGTAAGGACTGGGGGCAGCATTTATTCTTAGACCCCTGCCACAGGTGACTAGGTGGCATGGGTAGAGCAACCAGTCCTCAGGCCCCTGATGTGGGTAGGTAAGTACCCTGCTTAATGGGCAGAGCAGTGTCAAATGTCACAAACCTGCCACTTCATCATACAGCTGAAACAGTTGAAGTTAGATTTCAGGTATATACCCCGTTGTACTGTGGTAATGAGGGCCCACACTGTTGAAATGGACCCACACAAGTCTAAGTAGGGCTGAAAGGCATTAAAAGTCGGTGAACCTCTTATTCTTGTGCCTAGGCAAAGGAGCTGTGCCTATCCTGCGTTCCTAGCTTAGGGGAGCTGGAAGATTATTTTTTCTGTTTGTTAATTTGTTTCCTCTCCAAGGCTGGTAGAATGGCTCAGGGCACATGACAGGTCCTACTTCCGGCCCAGGGGACTTGGCAATTGCTGAAGCCCATCCAGGACATGGTGCAGAGTGGGGAGGGGTGAGGTAAATGGGAGAGAGGTTTTTCCCAAAGGGGGTGTTTTTTGATCCGTGGGGTAGGCCAGACACAAGTACTTATCTTTTGCCAATTGAGCTCCACTTTTGACTGGTTCTGGATGCTCGAGTAGACTGTCTGCCAATGGGTCTCTCCCGATGTGGAAAACACCTCTTGAGCATCACTGTAGCCTCACCGCACAAGAGAGCCGATCCGGCCAGAAGGGTGTCAGCTCCCTCCAGGTCAGGTCTGGCAACTCTTCACTACTTCTGAACCATCTCTCCTTCCCCCTGCCACTCAGTCTGATTCCTCAACTTTGCCTTTGATGTTCAGGGCTCCTAGATTGTCATATATAATCGATTCACTTGTTTTTTCTGGTCTTTGTTGTAAGAGGGACCACAGGAAGTGTCTGACTACTCCGTCATCTTGGCCCTGCCTCCAGATCAACATTTTTAAATTAAAAAAATGGCTCATATGCTTGAAAGTCTTTGGGACTGCTGGCTAAAGACATGGCTGTATCCACGGACTCAACAATATCATCAGGACAGTTTCTTTCTCTCTGCTCTACTTCCCTCTAAGTTGCTTCATCCTTAGACTATCCTCATGTTATTATGAGGTGCATGCCATCAATTCCATGCTTATATCCTATCAAGGTAACAACCCTAGGGGGATTCCCCCAACAACCTCAGCAAAAGTCCCACAATGGATTCTGATTGGCCTTGTGCCAGTCACAGGCTAACTACTGAAACAACCACTGCGTCCAGGGTTCTCACTACCATACAAGGGTCACCTGCCTATCCTTACAGCTGGGAAGTGAGGTCATCCTTATTAGAATTATTTGGACCAAACTTAAGGAAAGGAAACTCCTCAGAGGAAAATTACAGTATCTTTACCAAAAGAAGGAGGAAGGGATGAAAGAAAAACACAACACAAGTAGATAATCTCATGCACCTTATGGAGAAGGTACTCCTACATCTCCAATTTCATATGAGAGGAGACTGAGGCTGAGGGATGTGAAATGACCTGACAGAAAAACTCATGGCAGGTACATGGCAGAGGTGAAACTTAGAGTGTCAAGTTTGAACTTTGAGGCAATGCACTATTCAATCTTCTTGCCAGTAACAACCTTAGGTAAGGGTGTATTATGGCATTTGAGCTCTCTTTGTGGCCAAAGTGCCTCACTGCCCTTTATCATAGGAAAAGTTAGCAGGAAGATGAATATGTGATATGTTCCCTTTTCTGATCAAAATTATAAAAACAAAACCCTGAAGCAAACCAAACCCAAGAAGTGGTATATTCCATTTTGGATCAATGGTCCATTTTGCCTAACATCATCTTCGACAACACATGGGGGAACTGATTAGCACCTGATTATAATATGAATGGGAAACATTTTTCAAGCGTTTGAGGATCCCTTAATCATAGCTCTTTAATCTGTAAATATATCAAAATATTTAGATCTCATCATATTTCTCTTAGTTTTCTAGACTATGTTCTTACCAACCTCCTCCCACCTTCACAAGGATATGGGAGTCAGCAAGTATATAGAAGACCTGAACCACACTGTTATGGATTCAATTGTGTACCCAAAAATATGTGTTATAAATCCTAACCTCTATGCCCGTGGTTATATTCTCATTGGGGAATGTGTTGTCTTTGTTATGTTAATGAGGTAGGATTAGTATAGGGTACGTCTTGAGTCACTCTCTTTTGAGATATAGAAGACATTAAACAAGCAAGGGAAGCAGAGGTGGGGGAAGACACATGCCAAGCCACATGAAGATCTCCCAGGAACAGAAGCTCAGAAGGGACAAAAGCCTTCCCCTAGAACCAGCACCCTGAACTCGGACTTTTAGCCTCCTAAACAGTGAGAAAATAAATTTCTGTTAAAGCCACCCACTTGTAGTATTTCTGTTATAGCGGCACTAGATAACTAACAGAAACTCCAACAACTATCTTAACCTAATTGACATTTATTGAACATTCCACCCAACAGCAGTATAAGACACATTAATTCTAAGTGGTCATTTAATATTCAGCAAGATAGACCATATTTTGGGTTATAATACAAACTTTGACAAAAGAATAAAATGACTGAATAAACGAATAAGAAAAATCGTGATATAGTCATCCATCAGAATAAAACACGAGGGGGAGCCACTGAAACCCACAATCACGAGTTAGAGCCCTTTACATTCGCTCAGGGAGCCCCTTCCCTGCGGCACCCAGAATGTCTCAGAAACCGGAAGCGGAAGTATGCCTCCTCGGGTGGGCTGGCGGTTGGGTGCTCTCCTGCTCGGCAGGCAGCCGGCTTCGCTAGCGTGACCCGCAGGCTCCTGTCCCGGGTCTGAGGGCGCTGCTCCCGCTGCCCTCGCGATCCGGGTCTCTCCTCCCCCAGAGCCTCCGGACTCCCTCTAGCCGGGGAGCCGCCGCCGCCGCTTCCTGCGCGACCCCGGCCCCGCGGCCGCAGCTGCTTTCCGGAGGCCGAGGAGGTGGGGACCTGTGTCTCTCGGGGCGCTCACAGGTGAGGCCGTGGGGGTCCTCGCCGCGCACACGTGTGCTTCTCAGAGCAGCGGCGTCAGCGTCCCCTTGGAGCGTGGGAGAAATGGGGGTCACGGGTCTCGGGGACGCCCGGGGTCGTTCGCCTGAGTGTAGATCCCGCTCCCACCTCCAGTCCGCCGCCCCCCGTGCTCCCGTGTTCGCTTTTCTTGTTCTTACAAGGCAGCCTCAGCCAGACTCCTCGGCCTTTTATGCCAGCACCCCCTAACGCACACACGCACGCACACACGCACACACACTACAGTCACATTGAGCTTCTCATCAGGCCTCAGTCAACCCCCGGACTGTGTGTATATTTACCATTTACTGAGCTATTTCAGAAGGGCTGGGCATTGTGCTAAGTACTTTATATACTGCACCTCATTTTATTCTCAAAACAACACCGTGAGGTACGGAGTACTTGCGGCATTTTACTAAAGTAATAGTCTTGGTTACATTAAATAGCTTGCCCATGGACAAGTATCTAGGAATTGTCAGTGTCTGAACTCAAATTCAGGTCTGTTCTTACTTCAAGGCGCATATTCTTGATCACATTTTCCCTGCTTAACATGGCTCCTTCTTGTTTTCTGTGCTGCATCAGGCAGGACTTTTGTGGATTATTGCTGGTCTTACAAAAATGAAGATTGTGATCAGGAATGTATCCCCCCTCCTTTAATGGTTATTGGAGCCCTGGTGGTGCAGTGGTTAAGAGCTTGGCTGCTAACCAAAAGGTCAGCAGTTCAAATCCACGAGCCACTTCTTGGAAGCCCTATAGGGCAGTTCTACTGTGTCCTATAGGGTTGCTGTGAGTCAGAATCTACTCAAAGGCAACAGATTTGGTTTTTTGTTATAACCGTTTAAGACAGATGAAGAATACACAAACATGAGTTGGAGCTAGTATATACATTTAGGGCCATATCTATCCCAAGTTCAGGAGGAAAATATTTAGTAAGAGGCATGTTTCAAGGAATTTCTTTGGCTGTAAAGCAGAAATTGTCATCAAGATTGTGTGAGAAACAATATGGCCAATCCTAGTTGGTCTGATGTAAAATGTGATGTTGCTGAATAAGCTTCACAGAGGCGAAGAGGGATTTATAGAGATCACACACCCAGTGTGTGTGATCTGTGCTGGACTGCATACTAGGGATTGAGCCACAGTTTTTGCAACCAAAGAACCACACTTATTAAAAGGTTAAAGCCTTCTTGGAGCAAAAACCATGCGTGTTCCCAATGTCAGAAATTGACTATTAGGAGAGAAAGCAAAAGCAGGCATGTGTAATGAAAGTAATCAAAATGCTTCATCAGATCCTAGAGGACCAGCCACAGTACAGTGTTGTAAAAAGTACCTCATCTTCTGTAATGATTATTTTACAAAGTAAGAGTCAAGTAGGGAGTCCCTGAGTGGTGGAAGAGGTTAAGATCACTAGCTGGAAGGCTGTCAGTTTGAACCCACCCAGATGTGCCTTGGAAGACAGGCCTGGTGATCTGCTTCTCAAAGGTCACAGCATTGAAAGCCCTATGGAGCAAATTTAAAGTGTCTACATTTACGTGTCTTGTTTGAGAAATCATGGGGAACTCCAATGCTATTGGCACAAGTTCTTTTTTTTTAACTCCTTAGAATTATAATTCATGTGATTTTTTCTTGTTATGGAAACAGTCTTTTTTTCTCTTCATATTAATGACAGGGTGATTCAGATCCAGTTACCTTAAAAAGTCCATTCTTTACACAATGCAGTTCCTCAAATGTGATTTTATTTCTCTAAGTTAGTATAAAAGGAGTCCTGGTGGTGCAGTGGTTAAGCTCTTGGATGCTAACAGAAAAGTTGGTTGTTTGAATCCAGTCTGCTTCCTGTAAAGATTCAGCTTTGGAAACACTATGGGACAGTTCTACACTGCCCTATACTGTCACTGTGAGTTGGAACTGACTCGACAGTGGTGGGTTTGGTTTTGGTGTTTAGTATAGCTTAAGGTTGGCATTAAATCTTGGAAGTACTCACTTTCCTTCCTATATCTCCGTAGTATCTAAATTTTCCTCCTTTTACTTACTCAGACCAAGAAACTAATTTTTTTAATTTTTTAATGGTGTCATTTCATGCTGTCTTTTTTAGTGTGTGTGGTAAAATACACATAACAAAACTTTATCTTATTTCAACCATTTTTATGTGTAGGATTCCATAACAATTATTTTCACCATGTTGTACAACCATCACCAATGTCAGTTTCCTAGTTTTTCCATCACCTTAGCAGAAACTCAGTACCTCTTAAGCATTAATTCCCCTCCTCCCTCCCATCTGCCCCTGGTACCCATTTGTTTGCTATACATTTGTCTACCCTAGATATTTAAGTGGGATTGTACAATATTTGTCCTTTTGTGTCTGACTTATTTCACTTAATGTAGTGTTTTCAAGGTTCATTTACATTGTAGCATTTATGAGGATTTCTTTCCTCTTTATGACTGAATAATTTATTTTCTTTGTCCACGCATCTGTTGATGGGCATTTCGTTTTTTTTCCTACTTTATGGCTATTTTGAGTGCTGCTGCAGTGAACATTGGTGTAAAACTACGTGATTGCATCCCTGCTTTCAAGCCTTTTGGGTATATAGCTGTTGTTGTCGTTAGGTGTCATTAAGGCATTTTTAGACTCATAGCAACCCCATGAGACAGAGTAGAACTGCCCCATAGGGTTTTACTGGCTGTAATCTTTATGGAAGCAGACTACCAGGTCTCTCTCCTGCAGAGCTGCCAGGTGGATTCGAACCATTAACCTTTTTGTTAGCAGCCAAGTGCTTAACCATTTGTGCCACCAGCACGCCTAGAAATAGAAATTTCTGGGCCATAGGGTATTCACATATTTAACTTTTTGAAGAACCACCAAAATTGTACACAGAGGCTGCAATGACAATCCAATCAGCAATTTTTCCACATTCTCCCCAACTCTTGTTGTGTTCTGTTTTTGTGATAGTAGCCATCCTAGTAGGGATGAGGTGATATCTCATGTGGTTTTGATTTGCATTTCACTAATGACTAATGAAGGAGCCTTGGTGGCACAATGTTTAAGCACTCAGCTGCTAACCAAAAGGTCGGATGTTCGAACCCACCAGCTACTCTGCGGGAGAAAAATGTGGCAGTCTCAAGCTGAAAGAACAGAAGAAAAATTCAAGCCTTGAGTTGCAATATTGACAGATTCTATGGGGAAAATATTAAACAACGCAGGAAGCATCAAAAGAAGATGGAAGGAATACACAGAGACACTATACCAGAAAGAATTGGTCAACGTTCAGCCATTTCAGGAGGTAGCATATAACCAAGAACCGATGGTACTGAAGGAAGAGGTCCAAGATGTACTCAAGGCAGTGGCAAAAAACAAGGATCCAGGAACTGACGGAATACCAATCGAGATGTTTCAACATACGGATGCAGTGTTGGAATGGCTCAATCATCTATACCAAGGAATTTGGAAGACAGCTGCCTAGCCAACCGACTGGAAGAGATCCATATTTGTACCATTCTGAGGAAGGGAAATCAAACAGAATGTGGAAATTACTGAACAATATCATTAATATCACAAACAAGTAAAATTTTGCTGAAGATCATTCAAAAGCAGTTACAACAGAACATCAACAGGGAGCTGCCAGAAATTCAAGCCAGATTCAGAAGAGGACATGGAACTAGGGATAATCATTGCTGATGTCAGATGGATCATGGCTGAAAGCAGAGAATACCAGAAAGATGTTTACCTGTGTTTTATTGACTATGCAAAGGCATCTGACTGTGTGGATCATAACAAATTATGGATAACATTTCAAAGAATGGGAATCCCATAACAATTGTGCTCATGAGGAACCTATACATAGACCAAGAGGCAGTCGTTCCACCAGAACAAGGGGACACTGCATGGTTTAAAGTTAGGAAAGGTGTGCGTCAGGGCTGTCTCCTTTCACCATACTTATTCAATCTGGGTTGACACAGTGGCTGCAAAAATGGGCTCAAGCATAACAGTGATTGTGAGGATGGCACAGGACAGGGCAGTGTTTCGTTCTGTTGTATATAGGGTCACTATGAGTTGGAACTGACTCGATGGTACCTAACAACAACAACAGCATTCATTCTGTAGGCTGAACACATAATCCAAGAAGCTGGACTATACGAAGAAGAATGGGGCATCAGGATTTTCAGGAAGACTCATTAACAACCTGCATCATGCAGATGACACACATTGATTGCTGAAAGTGAAGAGGCTTGAAGCACTTACTGATGAAGATCAAAGACCACAGCCTTCAGTGTGGATTACACCTCAACATAAAGAAAACAAAAATCCTCACAATTGGACCAATAAGCAGCATCATGATAAACAGAGAAAAGATTGAAGTTGTCAAGGATTTCATTTTGCTTGGATCCACAATCAATGCCCATGGAAGCAGCAGTCAGGAAATCAGACAATGCATTGCATCGAGCAAATCTGCTGCAAGAGATCTCTTTAAAAAGCAAAGATTTCACTTTAATGAATAAGGTTCACCTGACCCAAGCCAGGGTATTTTCAGTCACTTTATATGCATGTGAAAGCTAGACAATGAATAAGGAAGACCAAAAAAGAATTGATGGCTTTGAATTATGTTGTTGGCAAAGGATACTGAATATGCCATGGACTGCCAGATGAATAAACAAATCTGTCTTGGAAGAAGTACAGCCAGAATGCTTCCTAGAAGCAGGGATGGCGAGACGTCATCTCACATACTTTGGACATGTTATCAGGAGGGACCAACCCCTGGAGAAGGACATCATACTTGGTAAAGTAGAGGTTCAGCGAAAAAGAGGAAGACCCTCAATGAGATGAATTGACATAGTGGCTGCAACAGTGGGCTCAAGCATAACAATGATTGTGAGGATGGCGCAGGACTGGGTAGTGTTTCATTCTGTTGTACATGGGGTTGCTATGAGTCAAAATCGACTGGATGACACCTAACAACAACAGTGGCATCGAGCATCTTTTCGTGTGTTTATTGACCATTTGTAGATCATCTTTGGTGAAATGTCTAAGTTTTATTCACATTTTTAAGTGGTTTGTCTGTATGTTATTGTGTGGTAGGAGTTCTTTATATATCCTGGGTACTGAACTCGTATATGATTCCCAAATACAGCACAGCCTGCAAAACCCAGAACATGTGTAAGGTAGAAACCTGTCAGAGAAGGAAAATTCAGCTATCTTCCACTAAAATGAGTGATAGAAAAGTGGTACAACTGCACCCTGTCAAAGACAGTATACTTGTGAGACCCAGAGAAGCAAGGCAGTCCCATCATGTTTCGGCTCCCATGTTTCACTGTATTTTCTCCCATTGTGTAGATTGTCTCTTCACTTTGTTGACAAAGTCCTTTGATGCACAAGATTTTTAATTTATCTGTTTTGTCTTTTATTGCTCGTGCTCTTGGCATAATTATCGAAGAATCTATTGTTGAAAACTAGTGTGTGGAGAAAATAAATGTTCTTATTTTTTTTAATTGTAAAAATATTGCATACGTCAAAAAGTTCAAAAATGTATAGAGTGAAAATGATCATTAAACACCACTTGTAATCTCAACATCGATAGAAAAATGTGGTGCCTTTTATTTTTTCCTTTCGTTCCCCAGAGATCGATATTCTAAAAATACTCACTTTTTGGACTGGTGTTCCCCTTGGAGATATGACTGGTAATGTAGTGACTTAATGTGAAATTCAAACCTTCATTCAAAACTACTGAATTTTCCTAGTTCAGTTTCTAAGAATTGCCCCTCAGATAAAACCACAATATCGACTTACATTTCTTAAAGTTCTAACCTATGCCAGAACTGTACTCTTCCTTTCCTTTAGCTTGAAGCTGCAGAAGTGGGAATGGAGCCTGTTTCAGAGGTCACGGTTTGATTCTTTGTGGCCAGGAGGAGACAACTTAATAGGTTAAGATATGGGCTGTTGAGTATTAATGCATCAGACACCAAACCCTTCCCATAGTCCACCTGGGTCAGTAAGGATTGTATGGCTCTGAAACCTAACATGTCCAAGACAGAGCTTTTAAAATTTCACCTGAACAAACCTTCTCACCTGGCTTTCCCAGCCAGTAATAGGCATCAGCATCCATTCACTAGGTTAGGGAAAATAGTCCAAGCTACTCTGTGAGGGATCTAGTTTATAAAAGCAGCCTCTGAACTTTCTTCTACTTTTTCTTTTATCAAAAGAAGGTATAATCTCCACCCAGCAGCAAAAGGTATATTTAAATGATGTAAACCAAGTAAGCTATCAATCACTTATAGAATAAAATCCTCATATATTTTATGTTGGCTGACAAGATCCTACATGTTCAGGCTTATATATAGCTCTCTGACTTAAATTTATAAGGCCCTAATGTTAGATAAGCTCTTGACACGTTTTTAAAACATGTTTCCAGAGATATCAGGATTTTCCCTGCCTTTCAGCATTTGCACCAGATGTTTCTTCTGATTAGAGGAAAACTTTTTAACTGTAGGAATTTGATAATTCTTATAATTCAGGTCTCACTTCAAATGTCACCTTCTCAGAGAGTGCCCCTCCTGTCCCCTCAGTTACCCCCCACTCATTTCTATGTTTAAATACCATTGTGGGTTTCAGAATGAGGTAAACCCAATTTAGACTGACATCAACCTCATCATGTAAATACAAGCAAATTGAGCTGAATGTTACCTATGCTTGTACCCGTTCTATTTCCCTATGTGACAGGCTTCCAGCAGACAAAAAGCTGTGAAGCTCTGCATTGTCCTGATGGCAGCTTTCACACCCTCTCTGCTGTGTTGGTCACTTAGGGCTCTGATGAGTCCACTAGAGCTGTGATGTCCACTAGCCATGTGTTGCTAGTTCAATTAAAATCAATGAGAACTTAAAAGTTCAGTTCCTTAGTAGCACTAGTCATATGTTCTGTGCTAAGCAGCCGCAAGGGGCTAGTGGCTACCGTATTGGACTGTGCAGGAAAAAAACATGTCTCTCTTTAGAGAAAATTCCCTTGGATAGTGCTGCTCAAGAGTATATACAACAAGGGATAATCTCTGTGTGTCCTCAGTGATCAGTGTCATAGGACAGAAGCAACAAGAAAACAAAATACAGAGTGTCTAACGTGGGAGACAGTTTTAAATAGTGAAAAACCAGAGACATATGATACCTGTAATAAAAGGACCTAATCCGAGAGTCATGTTAAATTGCTTGAAAAAGAACATTAGTGAAATGAAGAATTAGAAGATTAGTTTTATTTAGCTATGTGCAGAGAAAACAAAGTGTGGGGGTGGGGGTTGTTTGTGTGAGCCAAATTACACATAATTAAAAAGTAGTGAAACTTGAAAAATATATTTTTCCTGAAAATTCATCCATATTAATATCTAATAGCAGTGCATGTGTTGATCTATAAGGGACAAAATTACATAGGTGAACCCACAGCTTCAACACTGGACTCCTGGCACCCTGGCGGAAATCAGGTTCAAGTTTTGTAGCCTGGCCCAGCCTGGTTGCTTCTCGGGCTCTGGGATAAGTAATTGTGCCATCTGTGATCTTGTTGCCAGAAAGAAGAGGCCCATGGAGCTGCATAAAGAATGCAGGGATGTGCTCTGGAGGCTGGAGCCTGTTCTGCCTTCAGTGCAAATGCCCTCAGGGTACATCATTGCCCTGAGCCTGGGAGGAAGCCAAAAACCTGTCACACTGCCTGCTTCCTCAATTCTGTTTCCTCCCCATCTTCTTACATTTCAGGTCTCAGGTGTGGTGCAGGGAGAACTAGTCCATGCCAGGCAGCTGGGGACCTAGTGTGACCATCTTGCACATCCGTAAATCACAAGGAGGGATTTCAACTGCTCTGACTGGTGTGCGGAGCAAACGTTATTCATCTGCTTTCAAATTGCCCAGTGCTCTGCTTCCACTCCCGTCCCTCTTCCTTAAGTGTCTTCTTGTGCATAGAGTCGACGTTCTGTTAGACTTCCAGAAGCTGGAGAAGGAAATGGTGAGTTCTACAAAGGACTGGGTTATTCTTTCAGTATGCGGGTGAGGCTTGATATGAATTGTTGGTGGACCAGCTGTGTGCTGCAGGACTGTGGCTCCTCGGTGAAGAAAAAAGGTGGCAGACGAGGCCAAGGGACTGAGCTTTAGGAGGCATCCTGAGGCCCTGCTCCACTGTCACTGGGCCCTTCCTCTGTACATATGTAGCTTCTCAAGATTTGGATGCCTGGAGTCACCTTCCTTATGTGACTCTCAGAGCTGGCACCATAGGGCATTAAATCCCCACCCTGGGCCTTGGTGTTCCATGTTGAATGAAAGAATCTCCTGAACAGAGCCTGAAAATGGAGCAGCTCTGGCTGTGGAGGCTGAGTCCCGCCCTCCAGAGTCATCTTTGTCCCATCTCTCTTAACAGTTTTTTTGACTTCCGCCAGGCACTGGAGGATTTTCTGTGCAGTTCTAAAACTACAGCTCCACTTCATACACTGTGTTATGGGTTAGAAAAGGGGGGAAAGAGTTCGTAGATGATGGCCGTGACTACTTAATGGGACACCTAACAACAACAGCAACATGAAAGGGACATAGAGGATTACAGTACAACTTTTTGAAAAATAGGTGACCGACATGGAAAAATTCCTAATTTTCCAAAAGAATATTCTTTTTTCAACAAGTAGACCTGTCACGTCCTGAAGTCCTATAGTTGTTCAAGAAAATATGACCAGTTTAGCATCTTGGGTTGGCAGTTTGTTGTGCGGGCCTCTGGTCTTCCCATGACTATGAAGGATAAAAAGAAAAACTGCCATTCTTCAGTGTTTCCCAGTTTTTAATATCTCGTCCTGCCTCTACCTTGTGCTTTATGTTTCATTGAGTATTCTGGTGGGTCTTATGGAAAGAGATGTAATTGTTCACAAGGAAGTGATGATCTGAATTAGAACATTTCTCTAATTTGTGCTGTGTTTTCTAACTGTTCTAGACCTTAAAGACAGTGGAATAAGACTGCAATTGACTGCAGTCAAACTGTGGAGAGATTATTTCAGTGTTTTAGAAGTCTGGGAGACAGTATGCCATCAGTGAGAATGTGAATGTAGTTAGGAAAGGGACGAGGTTGATGATTATACCCTAGAGTAGACCTTGGTAGAACATAGAACCTTGTGTTAATTTTCTATGAATTCTCAGTTCCCAAGAAGTGTCAGCCTCACCCTATGTTCTTGTACACAATTGGAGTACATGGTACCTCGTTGATCCCGAATGTGTGGAATGTTTTAGGACTCAGTGGTCATTGAGGATGTGGCCGTGGTCTTTAGCCAGGAAGAGTGGGCTTTGCTGGGTCTTGCTCAGAGGAAACTCTACAGAGATGTGATGATGGAAACCTTTAGAAACCTGGCCTCAATAGGTAAGAATGGCATCTTTTTTTAAATTATCTTTTACTGAGCAGAAATATTTACTCATCGACTTTGCTCCAGTATTTGAGCTGACAAATGGAAATAAACTGTTAAATAAAACAGACATGGTCTGTGAAGTTCATATATCCTGGCTACTTCATGAGCATAAACCTCTATGTATTAAAGTGAGTTTTCATTTCTCTTGTAATTAAAAGCCCTGAGGCTCTTTAAGTGTAGTAAATATAAGCATTGGTTTCAGGTGTCACTTTGGGACATGAGAGATTTTTGTTTTGTGACCTTTTAGAGAGTTTTATTGTGTTTATTACGTTTGACTTGATTGTCTTGCTGCAACTAACCCACACCTGTCCATCTGCAGAGACCCTGAAGAGCAAGGTATTGGCTCAGTGTCAGGGAAATGTTCACGGCTCTGCACTGTCTTCCCTAATGATACGTATTTCTCCATGTGCACCGTGTCAGTGTACGCATTTGTTCTCCTGGAGGAGCAAGGGCAGTAAAATAGGGAATTACATTTGAATCAATCAGCTAGAAAAAGTCTCTTTCGGTTGATGACATACTTCACATATACCTGAGCTTACTTTTTTGACTATAGCAATCCTCTCACACCTGCAGTCATGGAGACCTTTTCTTCTTTTAATGTTACATGTGTATTGTGTCCAATATCTTTCTACTTAGCTCTCCTAATTACACCTATTTGTCACTGTCACTCTCAATCCTCATGGATGTATTTCCTAGTAAATTCTAACCATTGTCCAAGTGCTGAAACAGCAAAATGTGGCTGTTTCTTGGTACACAGCAGCCTTTTTTTCCCTAAATAATGCTTTTCCTGTTTGTTTTATATCATGAACCTCAACTTGAATTATTGGGTCAGTCTCTCAAAACCTTAATGATGGAGAAAAATTATTATCCAGTGAACATATAATGATGCAGTTCGTGAAGAATGACATGTGGTCCTCCATGTTAGGAGAAATCTCCAAATCACATGGCAATAAAGATCACCATAAAAACCAGAGGAGATATTTGAGGTGAGTGTCGTTCAGGCAAGAGGAAACAGTGCCTCAGGAGAAAGTGTTAAGGTTTCATAACTTTATATATTTGTGTGTGTGTGTGTGTGTATCTATACATATGTATATGTACATATACATATGTATGTGTATATATAATGCTAAAGTAGTAAGTCAGCAAAAAGGAGGAAGACCCTCAATGAAATAGATTGACACATTGGCTGCAACAATAGGCTCAAACATAGCAACAGTTGTGAAGATGGCTCAGGACCAGGCATTGTTTTACTTTATTGTACATGTGGTTGCTGTGAGTCAGAACTGACTCCACACCACCTAAGAACAACATATATGAAGCTAGCTATAAAATTATGTATTCAGAGAACTTTCACAGTACATTTTCATAAATGTAAGTGAGATATTGAATATTTGATACATTTCACTTGGGCACAATTATCAGAATGCAATATATTTTAGAAACAGTGACAATAATGGTAGTATTTCTGCTAGATGATTTAACCTATGAAATATGCGACAAGTCAGGGCAAAAACCATGCACATTTATTGTGTTTGGTAATGGTGAAATGGGAACAAATTTGTTTCCCACAGCATGTTTCCTATTTTTGACAGAAGTCATACAGTATACAACTTCTGTGAAAGTAATGAAGGCAATCAGTGTGGAAAAACCATCAGCCGGATTCTAAATCTTACTTTGCTAAAAAGAAATGCTCCAGAAGTAAATCCTTTTGAATGCTGTGAGTGTGGAAAAACCTTCATGGATCACTCATCATATAAACATCATACCAGAACTCACACTGGATGTGATGCCTGTCAGTGTAAGGAATGTGGAGAAGCCTGCAGTTGTCCGTCTCACCTAACCACTCCAATGAGAACTCTTAAACGAATGAAACGCCATAAATGTAAGACTTGCGGGAAGGATTTCGTTTGCATCTCAGCCCTTAAGAATCCTGTGACAACACTCAATGGTGAGAAACGCTATGAATGTAATGAATGTGGGAAATATTTCTGTAGTTTCTCATCCTTTTGGACACAGGTAAGAGATCATAAGCATGAATGTAAAGAACGTTGTAAAACCTCTACTCGTCCTTCATCCCTCTTATTACATAAAAAATTTTGTAACAGACTTAAGCCTTATGAACGTAAGAAATGTGGGAAAGCCTTTACTGAAACATCATCTGTCACTCCACATATAAACACTCACAGTGCAGAGAGCCCTTACAAAGCTAAGCAATGTGGGGGAGCCTTTAGTCAGTTATCACACCTCACTACAAATATAAGAGCTCACGATACGCAGAGGCCTTATGAATGTAAGGAATATGGGAAACCCTTTAGTGATTCCTCAGCCCTCATTACACATATAAAAACTCATACTGGAGACAGGCCTTATGAATGTAAGCAATGTGAGAAATCCTTTACTTGTTCCTCAGCCCTTACGACACATACGAGAAGTCACAATGGAGAGAGGCCTTATAAATGTAAAGAATGTGGAAAAACCTTTATTGACTGCTCAGCCTTCACTACACATACAAGAACTCACAGTGGAGAGAGACCTTATGAATGCAAAGAATGTGGCAAAGCCTTTAGGAGTTCCTCACACCTCACTGCGCATATAAGAACACACAGTGGAGAGAGACCTTATGAATGTAAGGAATGTGGGAAAGCCTTTAGGCAGCTCTCAGCCCTCACTATACATACAAGGACCCACAGTGGTGAGAGGCCTTATGAATGTAAGGAATGTGGGAAACCTTTTAGTGATTCCTCAGCCCTCACTACACATATAAGAACTCACACTGGAGAGAGGCCCTTTGAATGTAAGTCATGTGGGAAAGCCTTTAGTGATTCCAGAGCCCTCATTAAGCATACCAGAACTCACACTGGAGAGAGGCCCTATGAATGCAAGGAATGTGGGAAAGCTTTTAGGCAAGTCTCACACCTCACTAATCATTTAAGAACTCACAGTGGAGAGAGGCCTTATTTATGTAAGGAATGTGGGAAAGCCTTCAGGCGAGCCTCAAACCTCAGTATACATATAAGAAATCACAGTGGTGAGAAACCTTATGAATGTAAGGAATGTGGGAAATCCTTTATTCGTTCCTCACTCCTCACTACACATATAAGAACTCATAGTGGAGAGAGACCTTATGAATGTAAAGAATGTGGGAAAGCTTTTAGGCAGCTCTCAGCTCTCACTACACATATAAGGATACACAGTGGAGAGAGGCCTTATGAATGTAGGCAATGTGGTAAATCATTTACTTGTTCCTCAGCCCTTACTATACACATGAGAACTCACAGTGGAGAGAGACCTTACAAATGTAAGGAGTGTGGGAAAGCCTTTATTGATTTCTCAGCCCTCACTACACATATAAGAACTCACAGTGGAGAAAGACCTTATGAATGTATGGAATGTGGAAAAGCCTTTAGGAGTTCCTCACACCTCACTACACATATAAGAACGCACAGTGGAGAGAGACCTTATGAATGTAAGGAATGTGGAAAAGCCTTTAGGCAGCTCTCAGCCCTCACTACACATACAAGGACACACAGTGGAGCGAGGCCTTATAAATGTAAGGAATGTGGGAAAACCTTTAGGAGTTCCTCACACCTCACTACACATAGAAGAATTCACACTGGAGAGACACCATATGAATGTAAGGAATGTGGGAAATCCTTCAGGAAGGCCTCTAACCTCACTACACATACAAGGATTCACAGTAGAAAGAGACATTATAAATTATGAATGTAACCAGTGTGGGAAAGCCTTTAGTTGTTCCTCACCCCTCACTACGTATAAGTACTTATAGTAGAGAGAGACTTTATGAATGTAAGGAATGTGGGAAAGCCTTTGGGCGGCTATTAGTCCTCACTATACATGTAAAAACTCACAGCAGAGAGAGGTGTTATGAATGTAAGGAATGTGGGAAATCCTTTAGTCTTTCCTCACACCTCACTATACATAGAAGAACGCACAGTGCAGAGACTACTTTAGGTTTCATCCTTACTGCCATAATTTCAAACAGCAAATTTCCAAAAGCCTACTTTTAAAGAACAAAGTTTCTCTTTGAATACAAAAGCAATACTAACTGAAAGAAGGGTCATTAGAGCTACTTTGTGCCTTTGGGAGACATGACAGTTTCATTGTAACTGTGGGGCTGTCCTAATCAGTGTTCGTTACTTTCTCAAGCTAAGTTTACCTTTCTTAAAGTCTTTGGCTATTACAAACAACGTTGCAGAGCATAGCCTTGAGCAAATATGGTTTTATATTTTTTAATGTTCTATTAATGTTATTTTGCATACAATAAAATACACTGATCTTGTTTTTGGTTTAAGAGTGTTTTATTTCCACATTTATCACATTTCCTTCCAATTTTTTCTATTGTAAAGTTAACTTTCTTACCGTTTATAATTAGTAAGTTTCTCATAGGGCCATACGTTGAGATTGTTCAAATACTCTGTTTTTCATCATACTTTTTTTGCCCTATTAATTTTACTGTTCATGGTAATCATTATCTATGATAATACTGTGGTGTTTACTTAATGGTATTTCCTGTTGTAATCATTTTTTCTATATTTGTTAATTGGTATTCTGCAAGGAATAGCTTTTCTTTTTCTCTCTTTGATTTATTAAACTGTTTATACCAGTATAGGCTAATCCAACCCCTGTGTTAGTTTGTGGAACTGTGGTGACTTCCATGTTGCTGTGATGCTGGAAGCTATCTCACCAGTATTTCAAATACAAGCAGGTCACCCATGGTAGACAGATTTTAGCAACACTTCTAGACCAGGACAGACTAGTAAGAAGGACCTGGCAGTCTACTGAAAAAAATTGGCCAGTGAAAACCTTCTGAATAGCAGCGGAACATTGTCTGAAATAGAGCTAGAAGATGAACCCCTCAGGTTGGAAGTCACTCAAAGTATGATTGCGGAAAAGCTTTCTCCTCAAAGTAGAGTTGACCGTAATGACATAGATGGAGTAAAGCTTTTGGGACCTTCATTTGTTGATGTGGCACAACTCAAAATGAGAAGAAACAGCTGCAAACTTCCATTAATAATCAGAATGTGGAAAGTACAAAGTATAAATCCAGGAAAATTGGAAATTGTCAAAAAATGAAATGGAGCACATAAAGATCGATATCCTAGGCATTAGTTAGCCGAGATGGATTGGTGCTCAACTTTTTGAATCAGTCATGTGGTCTTCTAAGTTGGGAATGACAAATTGAAAAGGAATGATATCACATTCATCATCAAAAAGAACATTTCAAGACTCATCCTGAAGTACAACACTGTCAGTGATAGGATAATATCCATACGTCTACAAGGAAGACCAGTTAATACGACTGTTATTCAAATTTACTGACCAATCACTGAGGCCAAACATGAGTAAATTGATTTTTACCATTTTCTGCAGTCTGAAGTTGATCAAACATGCAATCAATATGCATTGATAATTACTGGTGATTGGAATGCAAAAATTGAAAACAAAGGAGATCGGTAGTTGGAAAATATGGCCCTGGTAATAAAAATGATGCCAGAGATCACATGATAGACTTTGCAAGACCAACGACTTTTTGCAAATACCCTTTTTTCAAAAACACAAATGGTGCCTATGCACATGGACCTCGCCAGATGAAATACAAAGGAATCCAGTCAACTATGTGGAAAGAACTAGAGTTAGAAAACCAAAAGGGAAGAACATGCTCAGCATTTCTCAAGCTGAAAGAACTGTAGAGAAAATTCAAGCCTAGAGTTGCAATATTGAAGGATTCTATGGGAAAAATATTAAACGATGCAGGAAGCATCCAAAGAAGATGGAAAGAATACACAGAGACACTGTACCAAAATGTCTTAGTCAACGTTTAATCATTTCAGGAGGTAGGTATGATCAAGAACTAATGGTACTTGTCTTAGTCATCTAGTGCTACTATAATAGAAATACCACAAGTGGATGGCTTCAACAAAGAGAATTTATTCTCTCACTTTTTAGGGGGCTAGAAGTCTGAATTCAAGGTACCAGATTCAGGAGAAGGCTTTCTTTCTCTGTCATCTCTGAGAGAAGGTCCTTGTCATCAATCTTTTCCAGTTGAGATTCTCAGCCCAGGGACCCCAGTCCAAAGGACACGCTATTCTCCCAGCTCTTGTTTCTTGGTGGTATGAGGTCCACTTGTCTGTACTCTCTTCTCTCTATATCTCAAAAAGGATTGGCTTTAGATGAAACCTAGTCTTGCAGATTGAGTCCTGCATCATTAATATTACTGCTGCTAATCCCACCTCATTAACATCATGGACAGATACCTGGCCAACCAACTGGAAGAGATCCATATTTGCACCCATACCGAAGGTGATCCAATTGAATGTGGAAACCATTGAACTATATAATTAATATCACACTCAAGTAAAATTTTGCTGAAGATCATTCAAAAGCAGTTGCAGCAGTACATTGACAGGGAACTGCCCAAAAGTCAACCCAGATTCAGAAGAGGATGTAGAATTCAGGAATATCATTACTGATGTTGTATGGTTCTTACCTGAATACAGAGAATACCAGAAAGATGTTTTACCTGTGTGTTACTGACTACACAAAGGCATTTGACTGTGTGGATCATAACAAATGATGGATAACAATGTGAAGAATGGGAATTCAGAACACTTAATTGTGCTCCTGAGGAACCTGTACATAAACCAAGAGGCAGTCATTCAGATAGAACAAAGGGATACTCCTCAGTTTAAGGTCAGGAAAGGTGTGTGTCGGGGTAGTATCCTTTCACCATAGTTATTCAATACGAATGCTGAGGCTCAGAGCAAGCGAATAATCTCTCAGTTAAATTTTATTAGAGGTCAGAAAGGGTGAAGATGAGACGAACTTTTCAAAAACCTAACCAGATCACATGGACACCTGCAGCAGACCTGAATGGCTGGTACCTGAGTAACCTCAAGCTTAGAACTCTTTTGCCCTATTGAACGACTAATTCTTAATGACTGTTTTGAACTGGTAAAATGATTGAGAGTAAAAAATTAATTCTCCAAGTATGAAACAACCATGACTAGAAAAGCCAGGGATTGGCCTGCAGTGCGATGGATCACTTTGTGTGGCCTTCCTCGATATGGTCTTATAACTCCTACCAAATGATTGGGTGGGGCTATGCTAATAAGGTATATGCAACCCTCATGAGAGGATTGGTCAGTTTTGCTATCCTGTAGGCTTAAAATGAGCCACCCCAGAGGCAGGAAAGGATTTCACCACCCCTAAGGAAGAAGGACCAAAAACAGAGCACATCCTTTGGACCTGAGATCCCAGAGCTGAGAAGCTCCAGGAACCAGGAGACTGAGAGAGCAAGAGAGAGCTGTAACACTGAAGATGGTGAGAAGTGACAGCAGGAGAGGCTGGCAGGAGATACCGTGGTGGGCTTCCCGGCCCATGGAGTGAAACAGCTGAGTGCCTTTAGGCAGGAGGCTTGCTAGCAGAGTACGGTACTTCTGAGCATTTGGTTGAGCCAGGTTTGCTGACTCATGGAGCTAGCACTGAGTACTTTGGGCCAAGGCTTACTGGTGGAGTGGGGTGCCTTGGGGTACTTATCAGCAGAGCTAAAGAGCTTTTAATGCTTGAGCAGAGCAGAGGCTAAGGGGCAAGAGAGAGGCATACCTGTGGGCACAGCTGAAAAGAGGCTGTACTGATGGAAGAATTTTATCCTGAATGTTGCCCAGCCTAAATTGTAGCCTGTTAGAATTCCCTAATTAACCCCATAGTCGTGAGTATTGTCTGTGAATTCTGTGTGGCCACTGCAATGAATTATCAAACTCAGCAGAGAAGTAGAGAGTGCTGTGGGAAGGATGGTTGGTGTCAGAATTGGTAAATATGGCAGAGAGAGGAGACATGTCTGACCTCCTCATAGGAATCAGTTTTGGGCTGTTGATGCTTCTTACCCTTTGTGAAGTTAGAGGAGGTCAGATGAAGACAGTGCCTGCACGCCATTTCTATGTGGAGAAAAGGTTGAAGTTGTCAAGGATTTCAGTTTATTTGGAACTGCAATCAACGCCCATGGAAGCAGCAGTCAGAAAATTGAACAACTCATTGCATTGGGCAAATCTGCGAAAGACCTCTTTAAAGTGTTAAAAAGCAAAGATGTCACTTTGAGGACTAAGGTGCGCCTGATCCAAGCCATGGTATTTTCAATTGCCTCCTATGCATGGGAAAGCTGGACAATGAATAAGGAAGATCAAAGAAGAATTGACACATTTGAATTACGATGTTGGTGAAGAATTTGAATATAGCATAGACTGCCAGAAGAATGAACAAATCTGAATGTTCCTTAGAAGGATGACGAGACTTCATCTCATGTACTTTGGACATGTTATCAGGAGGGACCAGTTCTTGGAGAAGGACATCATGCTTGATAAAATAGAGGGTCAGCGTAAAAGAGGAAGCCCCTCAACAGGATGGATTGTCACAGTGGCTGCAACAATGGGCTCAAACATAACTATTGTGAGGATGGCGCAGAACCAGACAATGTTTTGTTTTATTATACATAGAGTCGCTATGAGTCAGAACCGGCTCAACGTCACCTAATAACAACAACATGCAACTTAAGACTTAAGCTGTCTATGTATTGTTATGAACAGATCTCCAGGATAATTTATCACTGAAAAAAGCAAGTATAAATTCTATGCCTTCTTTTGCGTAGCAAACCAGGGGAAATAAAAATTTCTAATTTGCTTGCATTTCCATAAAGATGCTTTATAAAGTTTATAATTAAAGCTGGTTATCTAAAGATAGCTGATGAAAGAACAGTCTGGACGAGAACAAGTGTAGGAACAAGTCTTCCTAAGTATCCTTTTTAAGTTCATATTGAGATTTGAACTTTGAAGGGATTATCTATTAGAAAAACACAGTAGCTTTACTTTTAAATATACTGTAAATAAAACGTGATATTTAATGTGTTTCCAAGGAATCCCTATTCATAAGTATAAAACCATGTAAGATTTAATCACTTAGGACCAAGTTCTTAGGAAGTTGTCTATTTGTGCAGATCATAAAAATGTAAGTCAGAGCTCTGTGTTCAAACACAGCGCTCTGTCCATTTTAACTCAGTCAGGAGAATGTTTCCAAAATGGCTGTTGTTGCTGTTGTTAGGTGTCGTCGAGTCGATTCTGACTCATGTTGTTCTGTGTACAACATCCTCATGATTATTGTTATGCTTGAGCCCATTGTTGCAGCCACTTTGTCAGTTCATCTCGCTGAGGGTCTTCCTCTTTTTATCTGACTTCTACCAAGCATGATGTTTTTCTCCAGGGACGGATCCCTTCTAATAACATGACCAAACTATTAGAGACGATGTCTCAACATCCTTGCTTCTAATGAGCATTCTGGTGGTACTTCCAAGACAGATTTGTTCGTTCTATTGACCATCCATATTATGTTCAATATTCTTCGCCAACACCATAATTCAAAGGCATCAGTTCTTCGGTCTTGCTTATTCATTGACCAGCTTTCGCATGCATATTAGGCGATTGAAAACACCATGGCTTGTGTCAGGCCCATTTTAGTCTTTAAAGTGACATCTTTGGTTTTTAACACTTTAAAGAGGTCTTTTGCATCAGTTTGCCCAATGCAATACGTCGTTTAATTTCCTGACTGTCACTTCAACGGGCGTTGATTGCCGTTCCAAGTAAAATGAAATCCTTGACAACTTCAGACTCTTCTCCATTTATCATGATGCTGCTTATTGGTCCAGTTGTGAGGATTTTTGTTTTATGTTGAGGTGATCTTTGATCTTCAGTAAATGTTTCAAGTGCTCTTCACTTTGAGCAAGCAAGTTTGTGTCATCTGCATAATGCAGGTCGTTAATGAGTCTTCCTCCAATCCTAGTGCTGCATTCTTCTTATTATCCA